TTTTTGGGTTTCCAGAACGGATTAACTGTATTTCCACTATTTCTTATGGGAAATATTGCTTCGCTTTTCATACTTTTCGAATTTAGAACTAGCTCCTGGAGCAGATTAAGTTCGAAATTTGAGGTTCCACTGTACAGAGAAGAATAACTAAAATGGTTTACTGTGTAAGGAATCTCCCGTATGAAGACAGACTTAGAGCCTTGAATATCCACTCTCTGGAGAGATGTAGAATGAGGGAAGATATCATTGAAGTGTACATGTATAAGTGGATGATAGGTATAAACAAAGGTGATATTAATAAAGTATTGAGGGTGTCAAACCAGGTAAGAACCAGAAATAATGGATTTAAGTTGGATAAATTTAGATTTAGAAAGGACATAGGTAAGTACTGGTTTTCGAACAGAGTTGTGGATGCGTGGAACAATCTCCCGAGCAGGGTGATCAAGGCTAGGACCTTGAGTAGCTTTAAAAAAAAACTGGACAGATATATGAGTGGGAGGGACTGGGTTTGATTGGTGTCATTGAGTACGGGAGGATATTCTTGGGTAGCTTTGGGTAGGGGTGTGCAGCCAGCAGTAACAGCCTGGTTGATCAGGCTCTGATCCACCACAAGGCCTGGTCACAGACCGGGCCGTGGGGGCATTGACCCCCGGAACTCTCTCCAGGTAAACTCCAGGGGTCATTTTGATAAGGACCTGCCTTGTATGGGCCAGTAGGCCTTCTGCAGTGTTCCTCCATTCTTATGTTCTTATGTTACCATCAAATTACCACCCAGTAAACCTGACCTCAATTGTAGGCAAATTATTAGTCAATTATATCTGAAATTATAAGATGCCATCTCTATAAGCATAATTTGATTAATGATACTCAGCATGGATTCATGAGGGGCTGTTCCTGTCTAACTAATTATTAACCCTCTTCAGTAAAGCTTTTGAGGCTGTTGATCACAATAAAGAATTCGATATTGTTTATTTAGATTTTAGTAAGGCTTTTAATAGGGTACTGCACCAGAGACTGTTAAAGAAAGTGGCAGCTCATGGCATTGGGGTAAAAGTGCTGTCATGGATTGAGTCATGGCTCACCAATAGGAAGCAGAGAATGTGCTTAAATGGGGTTAAATCCAAGTGGAGATCTGTAACAAGTGGCATTCTACAGGGATCAGTCTTAGGCCCATTGTTGTTTATAATATATATCAATGGCCTTGATGAGGGAATTACAAGTGATATGAGCAAATTTCCCGATGACACGAAGATATGTAGGATAAATGATTCAAACATAGATGTCATGGAACTTCAGGAGGATTTAGACAAACTCAATTCGTGGTCAGAAAAGTGGCAGATGCAATTTAATGTAGACAAATACAAGGTTCTGAAGTTTGGGAGTGTCCATAACCCTAGCACATGTAAGTTAAGTAATGTAGAACTTAGCTATACAGATTGCGAAAAGGACTTGGGGGTTATGGTAAGCAGCAACCTTAAACCAAGACAGCAATGCCTAAGCGTACGTAATAAGGTAAACGGATTACTGGGATTTATATCAAGAAGTGTAAGCAACAGAAACCCAGAGGTTCTACTACAGCTTTATACATCATTAGTAAGGTCTCGCCTAGATTATGCAGCTCAGTTCTGGTCTCCATATTGCAGAATGGATATAAATTCGTTAGAAAACATTCAGCGAAGAATGACAAAATGAATTCACAGCATTAGAAATCTTCCGTATGAAGACAGATTGAAGTCCCTTAAATTACATTCACTTGTAAGACGAAGAATGAGGGGAGACATGATCGAAGTATATAAGTGGAAGATGGGTATTAACAAAGGGGATATAAATAAGGTCTCGAGGATATCTCTCCAAGAAAGAACCTGCAATAATGGATTCAAATAAGATACGTTTAGATTTAGAAAGAATATAGGAAAGTATTGGTTTGGAAATAGGGTAGTTGATGAGTGGAACAGCCTGTATAGTAGGGTTATTGAAGCTAAAACGTTGGGTAGTTTCAAATTTAGGTTGGATAAATACATGAGTGAGAGGGGTTGGATTTGAGTGGGACTTGCATATGAGTAAATAAAATTATCAAAGCTTATTTCTTGGGTAGCATTGAAAATTGGGTTGGGCAAATATTTTGTTAGTGGGATGGATTGCGAAGGACCTGCCTAGTATGGGGCAACAGGCCTGCTGCCATGTTCCTCCTTTCTTATGTTCTTATGTTAGCATATTTCGGTGCATTACTTTTCAAGTACAGCATTACATTTTCAGTCACCATGTATGTAATTTATTCTCTATAGTAATAATTATGTGTTCATTCTAGGTAGTGTGTATAATCTAGGTAGTAGGTTGGTAGACAGCAACCACCCCAGCAGGTACTACTGTCCTGCCAAGTAAGTGTGAAATGACTGTAATTTTTTTACATGATGGTAGGATTGCTGGTGTAATTTTTTCTGTCTAATAAACATGTGCAATAACAGGTATATCTTGCTAGTTCTACTTAAACTTAGGTCACACTACACATGTATGTACAAGCATATTTATACACACCCCTCTGGGTTTTCTTCTATTTTCTTACTAGTTCTTGTTCTTGTTTATTTCCTCTTATCTCCATAGGAAGTGGAAAAGAATTCTTCCTCCATAAGTCATGCACGTCAGAAGAGGCAACTAAAATGCCTGGAGCAAGGGGCTTATAATCCCTTTTCCTGTAAAAATTACTAAATTTAAAAAGAAAAGCCTTCTATTTCATTTTAGGTTACCCTGTCTTGGTGGGATATGGTCGGTTTGTTGAAGAAATATATATATACAGTAGACCGTTGTTTAATATGGTTTTGTTTGGCACGTTTTGGTTATAGCACTATTGAAGAACTGAGGCATATTTTTGTATAACACTTCATAAAATTAACTTAACATGGTTCAGTTCCCAGGAGGGAAAAAAAATTGGAATGTCACCTGTGGGACACACTCTGCCTGGCCAATGAGGGAGACTTACTACCATTCCCTCCCACTCCCACCACCCTCCATCACTCCCACCACCCTTGTCCCAGCCTTGGGTTCATACATGTGTAGGACCATCCTCTGCTAGGAGCTAGCTGTGTTTAAATTTGTTTGTGGATTGAGTTTAGCTCTTTTAATTGCCATATCTTAAATTTGCCAAGCAATCATGGCACCCAGTAGGCATACAAGTGTTGCTGACAGTGGCAAGAAATAGTTTAAGCATTTAAGTCTTAGAATTAACGAAGAAAATAGAGATAATAGACAAGAGATAGCCTGTGGCTGTAATGAAGTGTCACTTTGTGCACATAAGAATGAGGTAAATATGAGTTTGTATGATGACTGACTGACTGACTAATTTACTGACTTACTTGACTGACTGACTTACTGACTTGACTGACTTACTAACCGACTTACTTGACTGACTTACTGACTGGCTCACTGACTTACTGATTTACTGACTTGACTGACTGTATTACTGACTGACTTGACTTACTGACCTGACTGATTTACTGACTGACTTAAAGTTAGACTCTTTCACTGAAGAGAACCTTGAAACTGTGTCTAAACCAGCTGATGCCTTACTGTCAGTTGTATAATATACTGCAGGGTAAAATAGAACAGTAACCAATTACAGAATTTACGCATACTCCAGTACAACCATCGACTTCAGTACTAGAACCTCTACCATCCACCTCAGCCCAGTAGGGCCACAGCATAACTCTCGACTCTCTCCACAATCATCCACAAACACCAGCACCCACAATTTAAGGTAAGAAATACTATTATTTCTGTTGCATTTGTAATCTAAAGCAGTAAAAATTTCAACATAATACATCATGACAGTGAACTACAATTACATATTCACTTTTATTTTTGTAAGATCTGTTGGGCTAAATAAAAAAGTTGTTTGGCTTTTTGGGGGCTCCCAGGAATGTAACCCTATTTTTCCCATAGTTCGTCAGTTTGTCTAACACAGTTTTACCTAGCACGGCATTTTCAGGAACGTAACTACCGTGTTAAACGACGGTCTACTGTATATTTTTTTAACAAGCTGGCTATTACTCATTGAGGCAGGGTGACCCAAAAAGGAAGAAAAACCCAAAAAGAAAGAAAAAACTTTCATCATCATTCAACCCTTTCACTGTCACTTATACATAATCACAGTCTTTGCAGAGGCGCTCAGATATGACATTTTAAACGTCCCTCCAAACTACAAATATCCTAAACCCCTTCTTTAAAGTGTAGGCATTGTATTTCCCATTTCCAGGACTCAATTCCAGCTAACCAGTTTTCCTGAATCCCTTCACAAAATATTACTCTGCTCACACTCCATCAGCTTGTCAGGTCCCCTCAAAAATTCGTCTCCATTCACTCTTAACACACTCACACATGCCTGCTGCATGTCCAAGCCTCTTGCACACAAAACCTCTTTTACCCCCTCCCTCCCTCCATCCTTTCCTAGGATGACCCCCTACCCCTCCTCCCCTCCACTACAGATTTATATACCCTCCTATTTTTTAAGTCATGGAGCAGTGGTACGGAAAACAGCAGATCCCTTTTCAAGTATATAATTTAGCAAACATGAAATCATAATTTTTTTAATTTATTTTACTTCTCAATGTTTATTTTAGTTTGAAGGTGACCTTAAATTTTCATCTCAATAAATGAGTTCTATATATATATTGAATTTATAAACCTTAGGTCATATGGATTCCTAGCACTGCACTAATAAACTTTATCTGTGCTCTCACTTGAAGGTCATTTAAACTGTGATGTTCGTGAGCTTCTGGTGAGACAGCTGTTGAATGAATGATGGTGAATGTATTTTCTTTTTATTTCACCCCACCCTGGTGGCAGATGGCAGGTATGGTAAAGAAAGAAGAGAGAGAGTCACTAAACCTATGAGGACTGTACACTGCCTGGGAAATGGGAGGTATTGAGATTTAATCCAAGAAAGGAAAATAGCTCCAATTCCTTGTATCAAGAACCCTTCATTAAGGCTTCAATAAGTGACTTACCATCAGAATTTCCTGGGACGTTCTTTAATCCAACACCATTACTGTCTCTTGGTTTCACCAGTTCATCTCGCCACCACTTGAGCTCCCAGTCTTGTGACAGCTTGTCGGCGGTGTCTGTTGAGTAATATTTGTTACACAATATCTTGCTTAAAGTAATTTAACTGAACTAGTTGCTTTCCACAGTGCTTATATTATCAGATAACTATATGGGTTATAGGTAGTAGGTTGGTACACAGCAACTGCCCAGGGAGGTACTACCATCCTGCCGAGTGAGTGTAAAACGAAAGCCTGTAATTGCTTTACATGATGGTAGGATTGCTGGTGTCTTTTTTTTTGTCTCATAAACATGCAAGATTTCAGGTACATCTTGTTACTTCTACTTACACTTAAGTCACACTACACATGCATGTACAAGCATATGTATACACACCCCTCTGGGGTTTCTTTTATTTTCTTACTAGTTCTTATTCTTGTTTATTTCCTCTTATCTCCATGGGGAAGTGGAACAGAATTCTTCCTCCGTAAGCCATGCGTGTCATAAGAGGCAACTAAAATGCTGGGAGCAAGGGGCTAGTAAACCCTTCTCCTGTATATATTACTAAATGTAAAAGGAGAAACTTTCATTTTACCTTTTGGGCCACCCTGCCTCAGTGGGATATGGCCGGTGTGTTGAAAGAAAGAATGAAGAACTATATGGGTCTTAGTAATATTATCTTAAGAGTCATTACAACACAGTGAAAACACTTATAACTTGAGATTGCTTGATTGCATTATGACAGTTGAGGGAGGTGTCCAGAGTTGGTTTGAAATGATTGGTAGAAGAACCTGCATCAGCAACTCTACTTCCACCCATAGCCCATTCACTGAGCAGTAATTATGTACTGTAACCTAGGTGCTAGTCGACTCTTACGAATCACATTCTGAGACTGATCAAATGCTTGGCTAGGAAACTTATAAGCTAAGAGTTTATACCAATGTTATGAAATTATCCTGCAAAAAATTCTGACTCTCCCCCTTCTCCATCCTTCTCATTAATACTAAATTAAACTAAATGTTCAGGATTACAGACGAGACTTTCTTCAATATTTTATAAAGAGCTGTTATCCAGTTTTCCCTGTTATCCACAGGGTTTAGTTAGTGCATCTATAAGCCAAAGCTTTCATTTAGTTAAATGATTAGATTTTGTGAACATTTCCTATGTCTGCTATGGAAAAATTGAAGAACTGAAGATTGGAGCAGAGTACAAGACAAACTCCAATATTCAACAAAGAGGAAGTTCAGTGTGAGAAATGTAGGAATGACAATGTCAAAGGATCTCACATTTAAGGATCATAACAATGTTGTTCCAATAACCCATAATGCCCATAATGCTCTGCAAACAAGGGGCTTTGGCATGCTGCACTTTAAAAATTGTATTCCTTGTACTTCTCTGTATCATGTTCAAATTAAATAAATAAATAAATAAATAAATACTGATTGTACAGCAATGCAAGCAACCATACGACCTGTTTTTGTAATACTCATTTGTGCTTAATTGCTATCTGTTTACAATAATGTTTTACCATTGAATACTTCATTGCTTAGTTAATCTTAAGTTAATTTTAAGCCTGCCCATAATGCTATGCATTCAAGTGGCTTTGGCATGCTGCATTTAACTGTATTCTTTTGTACTTCTCTGTATCATGTTCAAATTAATAAATAAATAAATAAATAAATAACCATAAAGAAAATGACACACTGGATAATTAGAACATTCATAACAACCTCACTTAACCACTCAACAGGAGTTGAATGACCTTGTCAGGGACGTTGACCTATGAAAGCAGAAGACAGAACTGTTTGGATCATACAAGAGTGGAACCTTATAGTAGAAGGAACAAAAATCTCATTTTCATGCATGCCATACTAGTCTGGTGGCATTCAGTAAAATGAAGAATGGTGTGTTTCTGTACTGATGTAAATGGTCTTATGAGGGAGCTGGGCCATGAACACTGTTCTTATGAAAAGAAATCATTCATCGATTTCAGCAAGGTCAGTTTGAAAGCAGTGTTACTTCATAACGGAAATGAAAAGGCATTTGTGCCAGCAGTGTTTATGGAAACATACAATTCCATGAAAATTCTACTCAGACTAACAAAATACTACAACCACAAGTAGAATATATGTGAGAACCTAAAAGTGACGTAGTTAATACTTGGTCTCCAACCTTGTTACACAAAACACACACACTTCTTTTGTTGCATAGTTGTGATGATGCTAACCACTACAAGATCAAAGAATGTCAGGCAAGTAAAGACCCTGTTCCAGGAAAATTCAACATACAATATATACCACTGATACATCCTCAAAAAATATTTCTTCCATCACTGCATATAAAGTTGGCCTAATGAAAAACTTTGTAAAGCCTGTGGATGGTGAAGGTGCAGTATTTCTTCATTATAAGGAAAAATTTGGAGTTTTAACTAATGCAGAACTTAAAAAGCCAGAGTATTTGTTGGGCCATAAATACACGAAGAGTCTTCCTAGCAAAATTGATCCTACTGAAGTTGGCTGCATTGGAAGCTTTCAAATAAGTTGTTCAAAACTTCCTAGGAAGACACAGAGGACACATTTATGTTGAGTTAGTGCAAAACATGATAGAAACCTGTAGAGCACTGGGTTGCAATATGTCCTTGAAAATGCACTTTCTTCATTCACACCTGGACTTCTTTCCACTCAATCTTGGTGCTGTCAGTGATGAGTATGGTGAAAGGTTTCATCAGGATATCAGTACAATGGAAGCATGCTATCAGGGACATTTCAATTCCAAAATAATGGTTTCTTCAGAAAGACACACTGTTGGCTTCTACAGAGATCCACCACTATTAGTCATAAGCGTGAAGTCAAATGCTTACGACATTTTTAAGTATTTTCTACTCCCAGTGAGAATATGTTGCTTAATGTCCCTGAAGCATTCTTTAGCATTTACTTTATAATAAGGAATAAGTTTTTAACAACTCATTATGCTACCTGTGCTGGAAATTTTGACAAAAGATGATTTAATGATAAACAGTTTCTAAAATTACAGTATATGTTGTGCAGTAACTAAAAATCCCAATGTTCTAGCTCAGTTTTGATTTCAAATTTGGAATCAACATGTCATATTATGTAACAACACCTACAATTATCTCAGTAGCAGACACAACGTGTTTTTGTTGTCCGGTGAATGAAGTGAAAAAATAAAGACTTACCATAATGATGAGTGACAACAGTAGTAACATATTTCTTGATGGCATTGTACAGAGGAACACCATCATCCCTGTATGGATAGTAAGGAAGGATGTCAGTGTCCAGGACTCCTCGAGCTTCCAATTCTTTCTCGATCTGTCCTTCCCTGTCAAATCTCCAGCGGTCAAATCCTCTCTTCATGAGTTCAAAGATTCCTTTCACACCTTGGGTCATGCAGACATCTACCCATCCGCCAGGAGATACAAGCTTCTCTAATCCTCTCCTGTTTGAGGGGAAAACATATAGTTAGGTTTTTTAAAGAATCAGTGTGATGTAATATGATTAACTATGAGATTAGTCTCAATTGTTGGTGGCAACACCTATAGAAGGGGCATATGTATAACTATTTTTTTGTGTGTCATACTACACGAGTCATGATTCACACCACAAAAATCATCACTCATATCACAAGAATCATCACTCACACCACAAGAGTAATTAATTATTCACACCACAAGTCATCACTCACACCACAAGTCATCACCCACACCACAAGAGTCATCACTCGCACCACAAGAGTCATCACTCACACCACAAGAATCATCACTCACACCACAAGAATCATCACTCACACCACAAGAATTATCACTCACACCAGAAGTCATCACTCACACCAGAAGAGTCATCACTCACATAAGAATCATCACTCACACCACAGGAGTCATCACTGGGCCACGGGGGCATTGACCCCCGAAACCCTCTCCAGGTAAACTCCAGGTACTTTCCAGGTAAACTCCAGGTAAGGTAAACTCACATCACAAGTCATCACTCACACAAGAGTAATCACTCACATCACAAATCATCACTCACACCACAAGAATCATCACTCACACCACAAGAATCATCACTCACACTACAAGAATCATCACTCACACCACAAGAATCATCACTCACACCACAAGGATCACCACTTGCACCACAAGAGTCATCACTCACCTGGAGTTTACTTGGAGGGTAAACTCCAAAAATTTACACTTCTTATTAACTTCTCTCTCTCTCAGCTTCCTGTTTTTTTTTAAATACATTTTCATGATTCTTTACTCTGCCTCACCACACTCATGATTACTGAAGAAAACTGAAGGCCCTAGAATACAGTGAGCATTAACATTATGCATCCTGTAAGAGGAACACTAATAGCAGAGTGGATGAATAACTTATTCAGAATAAGACACATGTACCCATGTGTCTTGTTCCTCCACTGGATGGTACTTTATACCATTAATACAGGGAAACTCAAGGCAAAAATACATACATACACCAGATAAGAAAAAGTACATCAGTTAAAAAATGAAAATAATTTTTCTTATATTTTTTTAAATCTTCTATAAATGACAAGTTTTGTAAACTTCTTACAAGTTTCCCTCAAAATCAGTAAAAACTGTTAGCCATGATGAGTTACAAAAACAGGGAATGTCAACATACGTGTTGATGGCGAGCAGAAACAGGAAATGGGGGGCCATTAGTTTGAAGAGTGGATGAGATGGAGAGAGGTTTCGATGTGTGCAGATGACCACTCCTTCCATCAGAAGATGTGTGAAGCCCAAGTGAGTGAGAGCTTGATGGTGCTGGGCTTCTGCGTTGTTGTAGAACATCTTGGCAACCAACCATGTGTTTGGTGGGTCATTTGGTGTATATACCTTGATAAAGAACAAATCAGTTATGCTACTGGTGAGAGTACTACAGCACCTCTAGATGAAATTGCACTTGTAAATTACCTGGAGTTTACCTGGAGAGAGTTCCGGGGGTCAACGCCCCAGTGGCCCAGTCTGTGACCAGGCCTCCTGGTGGATCAGAGCCTGATCAACCAGGCTGTTACTGCTGGCTGCACGCAAACCAATGTACGAGCCACAGCCCGGTTGGTCAGGAACCGACTTTAGGTGCTTGTCCAGTGCCAGCTTGAAGACTGCCAGGGGTCTGTTGGTAATCCCCCTTATGTATGCTGGGAGGCAGTTGAACAGTCTTGGGCCCCTGACACTTATTGTATGGTCTCTTAACGTGCTAGTGACACCCCTGCTTTTCATTGGGGGGATGTTGCATCGTCTGCCAAGTCTTTTGCTTTCGTAGTGAGTGATTTTCATGTGCAAGTTTGGTACTAGTCCCACTAGGATTTTCCAGGTGTATATAATCATGTATCTCTCCCGCCTGCGTTCCAGGGAATACAGGTTTAGGAACCTAAAGCGCTCCCAGTAATTGAGGTGTTTTATCTCCGTTATGCGTGCCGTGAAGGTTCTCTGTACATTTTCTAGGTCAGCAATTTCACCTGCCTTGAAAGGTGCTGTTAGTGTGCAGCAATATTCCAGCCTAGATAGAACAAGTGACCTGAAGAGTGTCATCATGGGCTTGGCCTCCCTAGTTTTGAAGGTTCTCATTATCCATCCTGTCATTTTTCTAGCAGATGCGATTGATACAATGTTATGGTCCTTGAAGGTGAGATCCTCCGACATGATCGCTCCCAGGTCTTTGATGTTGGTGTTTCGCTCTATTTTGTGGCCAGAATTTGTTTTGTACTCTGATGAAGATTTAATTTCCTCGTGTTTACCATATCTGAGTAACTGAAATTTCTCATTGTTGAACTTCATATTGTTTTCTGCAGCCCACTGAAAGATTTGGTTGATGTTCGCCTGGAGCCTTGCAGTGTCTGCAATGGAAGACACTGTCATGCAGATTTGGGTGTCATCTGCAAAGGAAGACACGGTGCTGTGGCTGACATCCTTGTCTATGTCGGATATGAGGATGAGGAACAAGATGGGAGTGAGTACTGTGCCTTGTGGAACAGAGCTTTTCACCGTAGCTGCCTCGGACTTTACTCTGTTGACGACTACTCTCTGTGTTCTGTTAGTGAGGAAATTATAGATCCATCAACCGACTTTTCCTGTTATTCCTTTAGCACGCATTTTGTGCGCTATTGCGCTATGGTCACACTTGTCGAAGGCTTTTGCAAAGTCTGTATATATTACATCTGCATTCTTTTTGTCTTCTAGTGCATCTAGGACCTTGTCGTAGTGATCCAATAGTTGAGACAGACAGGAGCGACCTGTTCTAAACCCATGTTGCCCTAGGTTGTGTAACTGATGGGTTTCTAGATGGGTGGTGATCTTGCTTCTTAGGACCCTTTCAAAGATTTTTATGATATGGGATGTTAGTGCTATCGGTCTGTAGTTCTTTGCTGTTGCTTTACTGCCCCCTTTGTGGAGTGGGGCTATGTCTGTTTTTTTAGTAACTATGTGACGACCCCCGTGTCCATGCTCCCTCTCCATAGGATGGAAAAGGCTCGTGATAGGGGCTTCTTGCAGTTCTTGATGAACACGGAGTTCCATGAGTCTGGCCCTGGGGCAGAGTGCATGGGCATGTCATTTATCGCCTGTTCGAAGTCATTTGGCGTCAGGATAACATCGGATAGCGGCTTGCTAAAAACTGAGTCATATTGGGACTTGAGTAGCTCACTCATTTCCTTGCTGTCATCTGTGTAGGACCCTCTTGTTTAAGTAGGGGCCTAATACTGGACGTTGTTCTCAACTTTGATTTGGCATAGGAGAAGAAATACTTTGGGTTTCTTTCGATTTCATTTATGGCTTTTAGTTCTTCCCGTGATTCCTGACTCCTATAAGATTCCTTTAGCTTAAGTTCGATGCTTGCTATTTCTCTGACCAGTGTCTCCCTACGCATTTCAGATATATTGACCTCTTTTAGCCGCTCTGTTATTCTTTTCCGTCGCCTGTAAAGGGAGCGCCTGTCTCTTTCTATTTTACTTCTACTCCTCCTTTTTCTTAGAGGAATAAGCCTTGTGCATACATCGAGTGCCACCAAGTTAATCTGTTCTAGGCATAAGTTGGGGTCTGTGTTGCTTAGTATATTTTCCCAGCTTATATCGGTTAGGACTTGGTTTACTTGGTCCCACTTTATGTTTTTGTTATTGAAGTTGAATTTGGTGAATGCTCCCTCGTGACTAATCGCATTATGTCGGTCTGGGGCTCCACACATACATGTCTGAACCTCAATTATGTTGTGATCTGAGTATATTGTTTTTGATTATGGTGACATTTCTTATCAGATCATCATTGTTAGTGAAGATGAGGTCTAGTGTGTTCTCCAGTCTTGTAGGCTTATTATTTGCTGGTTTAAATTTTAATTTTGTGCAGAGATTTAAAAAGCTCGTGTGAGTGTGGAGTTTTCATCAGGCTGCCTCCTTTGGGGTTATTACTGCAACAATATTTATTTGCTTTTATTCCCCATTTTGGTGCCTTAAGTTGAAATCCCCCATGGAGCAAGATGTTGGGTTTCAGGAGCTGGAAGATTTTTCCAGACGTGGTCAATTTTTAAAGCTGTTCCTGGGTATTGCTGGGATGTTGCATTCAGAGGCTTGTAGACTACCACAATGACTAGGTTTTGGTTCTCGACCTTTACTGCTAAAACTTCCACTACATCATTTGAGGCATTAAGCAGTTCTGTGCAAACAAGTGACTCTGTAATGTACAGGCCAACCCCCCCCCCCCCCTTTTGCCTGTTCACCTTGTTACATCTGTATAGGTTGTAACCTGGGATCCATATTTCGTTGTCCAAGTGATCCTTTATGTGGGTCTCAGTGAAAGCCGCGAACATTGCCTTTGCCTCTGCAAGCAGTCCACGGATGAAAGGTATTTTGTTGTTTGTTGCTGGCTTTAGACCCTGTATATTTGCAAAGAAGAATGTCATCAGACTGGTGGTATTGTTGGTACTGGGGGTATTTTTTTTCCGGCGTTAGTATCTGTATCTGTTGGTTTGGAGTGGAGGCCATCGACTGTGGTTTCACTCCAGGAATGACTGGATTTGGTGTACGATTTCTGCCATTTCCTGCCAGTTTTTTTCCTTCCTGGCACTAAAAAACCTCTCCCACTTGAGTGGCTGTGGCTACCCAGGTTTTCCCATGGCCTGGATGTTTTGTATCTTTTTGTCCCCTTTAGATGGTGTGCCTGGCAATTTAAGTTATAGCACAGTCTTTCCTGTACTGAAGAGGTACACATTTCAGGGTGAAAAAGCTTACAGGAAGGGAGTTTGCATTTTCCTGTTGTCATATGGGCACAGCATTTTCTAGGGTGGTCATAGTTGCACGTCCCGTCTGTTTTTCCAGATTTCCCATGTCTGCAGATACCAAGTGCATAGTATGTGCACAGGCTTGGTTTCCGTTTGCCTTGGGTTTCTGTGACTGTATTCCCTGTTGATGCATGTTTCCCTGTCTTATTCCTATCCTCCCTAGCACCAACAATGGAGCTCCCACCAGTTGTTTTTGGTAATATATCCTCACTATTGCTAGTGGAGTCCTCTTGTTTGCTATTTCCTGTGGTATTTCTAGTTTGCAATATTGGTTTTATCTTATCTTTGACTACACTTGTTTCCCCACTATGGCTCCTGTCCCCTATGAGGTCATTTATATGTATTCCTTCCTGCGTATAATTCCCGACTACCTGGACAAAATCTCCAGCTTCACCATTACTGTCTCCCAGGACAGCACCTCCAGCTTCACCATTACTGTCTCCCAGGACAGCACCTCCAGCTTCACCATTACTGTCTCCCAGGACAGCGCTATCAGCCTCACATTTACTGACTAACAGGACATCACCTCCAGCCTTACAGTTTCTGACTACATGGCCAGTATCAAGGGCAGTACCATTCAGCCCAAACTTTTTATGTTCCCATCTGTTGTAGAAAGCTTCCAGGTTTTCTATGAAAGCAGCTTTGATGTTATCCTCTTTTAATACCCTTGTGATTTTAGTCCACAGATTTATCTCATTTGGGCATACCCAAAAACACTTCCCTGTTTTAATACTGCTTGTAGCTAGTTCTTGGATATCTGCACAAGGGGCGTGACACCAATTTCCACAAAAATGACAATTTATCCATGTGGAAGCCCGTTTGTTTGATTGACTGCAGACTACACAGAGCTTCATAATGGTTTGAGTGGTTGATTTACTGTAATTCTACTAGCAACCTCTTGAATACTCTATTAATAACCTCCTTAAATGAAGATCTAGCTATTTGTATTTCTCTTTCTAACTGTACTTGTATATTGGACAGCTTACCGTGTACGTTCCTGATTTATATTTATTGTTTGTGTTTGATAAGGGCGACTACAACCCCATCCGTTTACAGTCTGCTTTATTGTCCAACGAATCCGTTTGAAACCAGTCAAGGGTTCGGACCAGTCAAGGGTTTGGACCAGTCGAGGGTTTGGACCAGTCGAGGGTTCGGAACCAGTCTGATCTGATCAGTGGATCACTTATTTAAAACATACTGGTCGGTGATTTGGGCTAACACATGAAGGATTTACTTGAAATTATCTACCTGAGTAATATGTGATTTGATTGATACAAAAGTATAACTTGCGTGTTGAAGAGCCGGTGATTGCTGGCAGCTCCTACAGTGATGAACGGTCGAGCCTCAACCCTTGTTTATCAATCGCTGTATCTAGCTTTTCTAGGTTTTTTTCGTCTCCACCACAATAAATGCTATATTATCACTATAGTTGACTGGTGGAAATTTTGGAGGAAGGACGCTTTTTCTGTAGTAATACAGTAATTGCTTCTCGTTGTGTATATTGCGACCGCTGGTAACTACAGGTTATATGAGATTCATAGTATACGTCTGGTATTTCAAGAAAAAAGAAACTAATGAAAGTCACTCCACTTCACTAAGTACCATTATAATACTGGTTAGTTGCTACTACAACACTGTATTCTGCTATTCACTGGTATCACTAGATTATATGCGTGTACACTAGCAGGCCAGGAAGATTATTAAAACAGCTGACCTCTGTGGTAAGTTTCTGGCGACTTCTGGCACCTGCCTCTATAGGCTTATCACTTCATTTACAAATTCACCTGTTTTCAAATGACACTTTAGCCTTTATCAGCTATATACTAGGGAGCCACTGTAGCAATACATATTCAATATCATGGTTACAAAAGGTTCTAGATATTTTATACTAATGTAAAATAAAGGATATTTCTCCCATGCTTTTGACAGTAGATATTCGAGTGAGTTAAACAAGTTAAGAAAGCCTAGGGAAAGTATGGATTTGTCCATTAAAAACAGAGTAGGGGAGTTAGTAGATGGGGAGAGGGAGGTATTAGGTAGATGGCGAGAATATTTTGAGGAACTTTTAAATGTTGAGGAAGAAAGGGAGGTGGTAATTTCATGCACTGGCCAGGGAGGTATACCATCTTTTAGGAGTGAAGAAGAGCAGAATGTAAGTGTGGTGGAGGTACGTGAGGCATTACGTAAAATGAAAGGGGGTAAAGCAGCTGGAACTGATGGGATCATGACAGAAATGTTAAAAGCAGGGGGGGATATAGTGTTGGAGTGGTTGGTACTTTTGTTTAATAAATGTATGAAAGAGGGGAAGGTACCTAGGGATTGGCGGAGAGCATGTATAGTCCCTTTACATAAAGGGAAAGGGGACAAAAGAGATTGTAAAAATTATAGAGGAATAAGTTTACTGAGTATACCAGGAAAAGTATACGGTAGGGTTATAATTGAAAGAATTAGAGGTAAGACAGAATGTAGAATTGCGGATGAGCAAGGAGGCGTCAGAGTGGGTAGAGGATGTGTAGATCAAGTGTTTACATTGAAGCATATATGTGAACAGTATTTAGATAAAGGTAGGGAAGTTTTTATTGCATTTATGGATTTAGAAAAGGCATATGATAGAGTGGATAGAGGAGCAATGTGGCAGATGTTGCAAGTTTATGGAATAGGTGGTAAGTTACTAAATGCTGTAAAGAGCTTTTATGAGGATAGTGAGGCTCAGGTTAGGGTGTGTAGAAGAGAGGGAGAATACTTCCCGGTAAAAGTAAGTCTTAGACAGGGATGTGTAATGTCACCATGGTTGTTTAATATACTTATAGATGGGGTTGTAAAAGAAGTAAATGCTAGGGTGTTCGGGAGAGGGGTAGGATTAAATTATGGGGAATCAAATTCAAAATGGGAATTGACACAGTTACTTTTTGCTGATGATACTGTGGTTATGGGAGATTCTAAAGAAAAATTGCAAAGGTTAGTGGATGAGTTTGAGAATGTGTGTAAAGGTAGAAAGTTGAAAGTGAACATAGAAAAGAGTAAGGTGATGAGGGTATCAAATGATTTAGATAAAGAAAAATTGGATATCAAATTGGGGAGGAGTATGGAAGAAGTGAATGTTTTCAGATACTTGGGAGTTGACGTGTCGGCAGATGGATTTATGAAGGATGAGGTTAATCATAGAATTGATGAGGGAAAAAAGGTGAGTGGTGCATTGAGGTATATGTGGAGTCCAAAAACGTTATGTATGGAGGCAAAGAAGGGAATGTATGAAAGTATAGTAGTACCAACACTCTTATATGGATGTGAAGCTTGGGTGGTAAATGCAGGAGCAAGGAGACGGTTGGAGGCAGTGGAGATGTCCTGTCTAAGGGCAATGTGTGGTGTAAATATTATGCAGAAAATTCGGAGTGTGGAAATTAGGAGAAGGTGTGGAGTTAATAAAAGCATTAGTCAGAGGGCAGAAGAGGGGTTGTTGAGGTGGTTTGGTCATTTAGAGAGAATGGATCAAAGTAGAATGACATGGAAAGCATATAAATCTATAGGGGAAGGAAAGAGGGGTAGGGGTCATCCTCGAAAGGGTTGGAAAGAGGGGGTAAAGGAGGTTTTGTGGGCGAGGGGCTTGGACTTCCAGCAAGCGTGCATGAGCGTGTTAGATAGGAGTGAATGGAGACGAATGATACTTGGGACCTGACGATCTGTTGGAGTGTGAGCAGGGTAATATTTAGTGAAGGGATTCAGGGAAACCGGTTATTTTCATATAGTCGGACTTGAGTCCTGGAAATGGGAAGTACAGTGCCTGCACTTTAAAGGAGTGGTTTGGGATATTGGCAGTTTGGAGGGATATGTTGTGTATCTTTATATGTATATGCTTCTAAACTGTTGTATTCTGGGCACCTCTGCAAAAGCAGTGATAATGTGTGAGTGAGGTGAAAGTGTTGAATGATGATGAAAGTATTTTCTTTTTGGGGATTTTCTTTCTTTTTTGGGTCACCCTGCCTCGGTGGGAGACGACCAACTTGTTGAAAAAAAAAAAAAAAAAAAGATGTATTTTTTATTTAATATTGCAGTAAATAAAGTAATACATACTGGATTATCATGTCCTCTTGCTTGTTTAAGTTGTATAGCAATGGGCAGAATCTTATCGTCTGTGTTGAGGTAGAAGAGAGCCAGGGGAGAGGCCAGCTGGAAAAGTTCAATGTAAACTCTTTAATAATATATTGTTAGCTTCAGTAATTTGTGAAACTGTCAAACGAATTACTAACAGTGTAAGAAAAAAAGGAAGCGAACCAAATATTTGAACTTCATAATATTTCAATTTAGGTAAAATCTATGGTAATAGGACAATCTTTTTAATTAAAATCTTAAATAATCTTCAAGTTCAATAGAGACAACATGCAAAGATTGAGAGATGCACGAATCAACAACATACTTCACGATCATCCTTGCATTTCAAATCATCAACTATTTTTAGGTCACAGATAAAAATCTTGTTTTTCTCAAGAGCTTCAGCCAGAGACATATCTCCAAGCAGTCCTCTCACAGTGTCCTCCGTTACATCAAAACTGTACACAAAGGGAAAGACAGATGAAGAAACATGCATCGTGATGAACATTTTCCAGAAATAACACTGCCTAATTAGTCAAAGACTGATTTACACTGGTGGCATTTGCATATAATGTGACTGAACAGTGCTTAATGATTCAAAATACATGGTACACATATCCTGTACTAATACGACAGCTCGACTGACTGGCCAGGCACCTCAGGCATTGCCAGGTACCCAGGCAACATGCAGTATCCTTGCAATTCTATGTCTAACATTGATATTGACATTTATTACCTTATACAGTGGAACCTCTGTTTTCATCATTAATTTGTTCCAGAAAGTGTGACGAAAACCAAATTCGATGAAAACTGAAGCAATATTTCCCATAAGAAATAATGTAAATCCAATTAATCTGTCCCAGACACCCAAAATTATCAGCAAAAAATACATTTTATAGAGAATAACTAAAGTTTTACATACAGAAAACAATGAGAAAAAATATAAAGGCCTAATGAAATGGATAAATGAACATTTAACATAACTTTTACGTTTATTGAAGACTCTTTGTTGGCATATGGACGACGGCAAGGAGGAGAGGTTATCTCTACCACCATCACTACTACCCTCTACCACCATCACAACCACTACCACCCTCTACCACCATCACTACCACCCTCTACCACCATCACTAACATGATTATTACCACCCTCTACCACCATCACTACCACCTCCACGATGAGAAACAAAGCCAGACTGACTCAGAATGCATGGGATGCTTTGTGTGGACACGGGCGGACACGTTTGATATGGCGGACCACTGTCAACTCGATAAAAACCGAGTTGACGAATGAAAACTGGGACAAAATTTTGACAAAAAAAGTTGTCGAAAGCCAAATTCGACAAATACCAGGGCGAACAAAAATCGAGGTTCCACTGTATAATAAATATACAGATATTTGGGATATTTGGGAGTGGACGTGTCAGCGGATGGGTCTATGAAAGATGAGGTGAATCATAGAATTGATGAGGGAAAAAGAGTGAGTGGTGCACTTAGGAGTCTGTGGAGACAAAGAACTTTGTCCTTGGAGGCAAAGAGGGGAATGTATGAGAGTATAGTTTTACCAACGCTCTTATATGGGTGTGAAGCGTGGGTGATGAATGTTGCAGCGAGGAGAAGGCTGGAGGCAGTGGAGATGTCATGTCTGAGGGCAATGTGTGGTGTGAATATAATGCAGAGAATTCGTAGTTTGGAAGTTAGGAGGAGGTGCGGGATTACCAAAACTGTTGTCCAGAGGGCTGAGGAAGGGTTGTTGAGGTGGTTCGGACATGTAGAGAGAATGGAGCGAAACAGAATGACTTCAAGAGTGTATCAGTCTGTAGTGGAAGGAAGGCGGGGTAGGGGTCGGCCTAGGAAAGGTTGGAGGGAGGGGGTAAAGGAGGTTTTGTGTGCGAGGGGCTTGGACTTCCAGCAGGCATGCATGAGCGTGTTTGATAGGAGTGAATGGAGACAAATGGTTTTTAATACTTGACGTGCTGTTGGAGTGTGAGCAAAGTAACATTTATGAAGGGATTCAGGGAAACCGGCAGGCCGGACTTGAGTCCTGGAGATGGGAAGTACAGTGCCTGCACTCTGAAGGAGGGGTGTTAATGTTGCAGTTTAAAAACTGTAGTGTAAAGCACCCTTCTGGCAAGACAGTGATGGAGTGAATGATGGTGAAAGTTTTTCTTTTTCGGGCCACCCTGCCTTGGTGGGAATCGGCCAGTGTGATAATAAAAAAAAAAATATTTAGGATACTCATGAGAGTGACATTATCATAGCACACTACTAGGTAGTGAACCTCTGTTTATTACATAGGATGTTAAACCTAGCTTCAGTAACTCAGTGGATACTTAACCAGCTATGGGTATCATCAAACCAGTGTATAGACACTTGTTTTATTTCCTGATGAATAAAATACACTTACATCAGTAAATAAGGTAAAAGGCCACTTATAATAGTAAATAAGATGAAAATAATGTATAGATAATGTGAACTACAAACTAACATTACATTTTCTATTGCTCTAAACTGTTCATATCTTACTTTTCAGGGATTTCTTTGCACAAGGAAATAACATTGGGATTGACACCTTGCAGCCTCTGAAGCCCAAACCACCAGTCCTCCTTCCAAACATCAATGCACTGAAATATAAATACAGTACGTATATAAGTTATTTAAATATCATATAAACTCCATGTGACTAAGACACACCTGTGCAAAACGAGGATCTTTTATGAATGAAAAGCTTTATTCACTTGGAGTCTTGTCAGTCAAATTGAATTGACCAAGCTGCCAGTGAGCTAAGTTTCGACTTAGTAAAACAATCCTGATGGTGCACGTGTCTTAATTACGTACTCGTCAGTATTAGGTACCATCTCTCTCCAGGTAAACTCCAGGTATCTGACTAAAGACTGTAAAATATACATGCTTTCCCAACCCTAGTCCCCGTAGTGCAATATGGAGCAAGTTGTATTAGGCAATGTTGCAGTGAAACCCAGAGACTCAGTCGAAAAACAGTTGTGATAAATGGTTTAAAACCGACATGTTGAATATTGAGACACTTATGCAACATATAGGAATCTCTATTGAAGAAACGTTTTGCCACACAGTGGCTTCATCAGTCCATATAAAGAAGAATGGTGAAGAACAGGAGGAGTGTCAGGTAATCAGTCCCTCATCCTTGAGTTGATGTAATCAGTCCATTAATCTTGAAAAGAATACAGCATATGTGCAAAGAAGTGGCTTATATGCTATAATCAGGTGAGGTGAAGCAGTCGTAGGAGGTATCACACTTGACAAATCCATATGTGGGGGTAGGTCTTTATCCAAAGGTTGGACAAGTGTTGAAGAATTACTTGTATCAAGAATCCATTATGTTGCAGTGTCTGACATATGTGATAAATGGTTTAAAACTGGCAAGTTGGAGACTGACTGATTAAGCCACTGTGTGGCAAAACGTTTCTTCAATATAGATTCCCATATGATGCATAAGTGCCTCAATCTTCAACTTGTCGGTTTTAAACCATTTATCACATATGTCAGACACTGCAATATCATGGGATCTTGATACAAGGAATTCTTCAATATTTGTCCAACCTTTGGACATAGACCTACCCCCACATTTGGATTTGTCAAGTGTGATACTGCCTACAACTGCTTCACCTCACCTGATTATAGTATATAAGCCACTTCTTTGCATATATGCTGTATTTTTTTCAAGATTGATGGACTGATTACATTGACTCAAGGCTGAGGGACTGATTACCTCAAACTCCTGTTCTTCACCATTCTCCTTTATATGGACTGATCAAGCCACTGTGTGGCGAAATGTTTCTTCGATAAAGATTCTCATATGTTGCATAAGAAAAACAGTTACCTTAAAAAATATCGATGCAATCAACATCACTGACTTTCATAAGTAATGTCGCACTTTTATGCACTTTCTTTTGGAAATAAAATATTATTAATGTTGTTGTAGCAAATGGGTTGGCATGGAAACTTTACCTCTGGTTCTCCTAGACTCTGCTTGAACACTTTCTTCAGGTCGTCCAGGGTGCTCCACTTGTTCGTTGTCCACTCAATAAGCTTGGTCCTCGCTAGGAGGTTCATTTTCTCAGTGGCAAACGTCCACTGAAATTCAAGACTCCTTTTTAGTTATTCGGATTTTATTTGTTCATCATAACGTGAGTGTCTAAAATTAATGCTTATTGATGGGCTTTCTTTTTTAATCCTGAGTTCTGCAGATTTTGTTATGTGAATCAAGACTCACTGTACTAATGTTTAATAGAGAAAACGAGGTAAGGTTATGTACAGTAAATACTTACATAATATTCGTCTGAGAATTTTTCATCACTCGGCAAGTTTTCAATCTGAAAAATAAAATATGCAATTAAAATTATGCAGAAGTTGCTAAGCTATTGTATATAGCATTTAATATAAAGGAAAATACAGTGGACCCCCGCATAACGATTACCTCCAAATGACCAATTATGTAAGTGTATTTATGTAAGTGCATTTGTACGTGTATGTTTGGGGGTCTGAAATGGACTAATCTACTTCACAATATTTCTTATGGGAACAAATTCGGTCAGTACTGGCACCTGAACATACTTCTGGAGTGAAAAAATATCGTTAACCGGGGGTCCACTGTATATACTGCTAATATTTCGTTGACTATTATTTTGTATTTGTGGAAAAAATATATTTTTCCTGTAATTTGTGTATAAGAATTGATGGGTAAAATAATGTTTATCTGAAATTGCGTTAGGTGTGCATCTTCAGTGACTTTTAAAAGATGTTCTATGACATGAGAACTAATATTCTCTATTATTTTCATATATTCTGTAAGGAGTTGAGTAAGTGAAAATTATTGTAATTTAGAGGAAATTAATATTTCAGTAATGAAAATATAGTACACACCTGGAAGTGATAGTAGATTAATTGAAAAGATATATAAGTAGACAAAACGTTGAGGAGAGCAACGAAAATGGCGGAGTTATACGGGTAGGACTGGGGATTTGTGAAGAATTAATCTCATGTAATCTAAGTCGATAGAAATAGTATCAGTAAATATAGTGTCCTGTATAATAGGTGAATTTAACGTGTATCTGGAAGGGTTCACATATAAAGTGAAACTATCAAAATAAGGATAATATGAATGAAAACCGTGAGCTGTTGCTGGAGAATCTACATTGTCACCGAATGTATCATCAGATCTGTAATGTACGCATCCCAATGTGACTTATATATCACTGCAGGCAATGTAACTATTTATTGGCCAATATTAGTCGTCTACCGATAGGGAGGTGCTAGGATATACCATCAGGATCATAATCTGGTAAGATACATTTCCCTTTTTTGTAACAAACTATGTAACCTATGTTTTAATTAATGGAACTGTTATGTACATAATAAGATACGAACAAATTATATAAAATTTGTTAAGTCCAATTTGTAAAGTTCACAACCAAATTTAATAGTGTGTTACTGGCTTGAAATATGTTTAATGAATTTAAGAACTATATGTTCAAATAATTTAAGGTTCAGATGTGAGTTTGGGGAGTTGAGAAGGAAGGACAGTGTTGTGATCCACTGTTACTCAAGTCCTGCCTGTCTCAGAAGTACAATTTCAGCAAGTTTATTCTGTTTTAGATGTGCCAAAGTTCTTTCCAGTTATGTGTATGAAATGTTAATTCAGGATTGTAACTGTGAAATTTACTCACATAATTTCTCAAAAGTATTTATTAAGGGTATATACTGCACAGGATATATATACACACTGAGAAGTGTATTTCTCTGAGTGTATTTATTTGTTTGGTGGTGAAAAAGTTACGTACTGCCTTAGTGACCCTGCAGTCAATAGGCTTTAATATCTGTCAAGGGATGATCTATGGGACTTTACTCGTTCCTGTGTTTCTCAGCTGCCCACTATGATTTATCAGTAACAATCAGAACTTGCATCTCTAAAAAGATAAATCTTATGTGCTTGTTATTTTAGATAAGGCTGAGTACTCAGGTAAGATGAACACTTACTGTGATAATGAAACGTATGAATTACTTACTAATAGCCCCCTCCACCACGTCAATTATCACTAATAAACGCCTTAAAACTTTATTGAAGGGAAATTTTTACTACACCGTTTCTTTATGGATTAATCAAGACTCATAAACCAGGGAACCCAGTTCGTCCTATTACAAGTTCAGTAGGCTCGGCTGCATACAACCTATCCAAATGATTAGTTAGACTCCTGACTCCCATGGTCAGAAGGATCTCGGATGCGCATATTAAAAATAATGTTGACCTTAGAGAGAGGCTCCAGAACTTAAATGTTTTACATGACTTTAGTGAGTTTTGTCACAATATTGTTTAATGGAGTCCCTGGTCTCGCTTTGCTTACGTTTTTAAAAGAACTAAAATTTCCCATGCCCCACCTACCCCCGAATATAATTTTTGAATTTTAAATTTTAAACTTTGTTACATGGACTACAAGTTGCATTTGAAATAAATATTTTTTCCCCCCAAAAAAAGGGCATGGCTAGGGGAAATTCCCAAGTCCAAAATTCCTAGGCATTAGAGGTCATCCTTGAAATTCATTTTAAAAAACGTAAACCACACATTGTAAATTTGGAAGGGAAATAAACATTTATTTTTTTTATTTAGCTGTGATGGAAATATATGAGAAAACTCCTTAAATTTTCCTGTGATGGGGAACACTCGGGGTTTTCCCAGAATTCTTGAAACACAAAAGGTGATTTCAACTATCACACATATAGGTCATTTCAACTTCCATACATAACAACATATAAATCACCAGGATAAACCAGGGAAAAGTCTGTTAGTGGCTTGTGTTGCCATCTGGGGTTCCTAGTAACGGTGATAATAGCCAGGCCTTCTTAGAATTATCCAGGGCCACAAGTGAATAGTTACACACATCTGCCACTCAAAGGGGGGTGCAATGTGCGATGTTTGAGGTGTATTGGTATAGGAGGTAGGTTACTGAAAGCAGTGAAGGGTAGAGTCTTTTTACGAAGGATAGTGAGGGCTCAGTTAGGAGTAATGTTGGAAAGAGGGAATTATTTTCCAGTAAAAGTAAGGCCTTAGACAAGATGTGTGCTGGTCACCGTGGTTGTTTAATTCATTTATAGATGGGGTGTTAAGAGAAGAAAGGCGAGGGTTTTGGCCAAGAGGCATGGAGTTAAAAGATAAAAGGGAATTCTCCATAAGTTGGGGGAGTTGTCACAGTTGCTCTTTGCTGATGACACTGTGCTCTTGTGGAGATTCTGAAGAGAAGTTTGCAGTGATGGTGGATGAATTTGGTTGGGTATGCAATAAGAAGAAAATTTAAAGTGAATACAGGAAAGAGTAAGGTTATTGAGGATAACAAAAGATTAGGTGATGAAAGTTGAATATCAGATTGGCAGGGAGATAGAGTATGGAGGCAGGGTTAAATGTATACGGATATTTGGGACGTGGACGTGTCAGCGGATGGGTCTATTGATGAGGGAAAAGGGTGGAGTGGTTGCACTTAGGAGTTCTGTGGAGACAAAGAACTTTGTCCTTGGAGGCAAAGGAGGGGAATGTTTTGTGAGTTATAGTTTTTACCATCGCTCTTATTATGGGTATGGTGCATGTGAGCTGGCGGATGATGTTGCAACGATGGAGAAGGGCCGGGAGAGGCAGTGGAGATGTCATGTCTGAGGGCAATGTGTGGTGTGATGAATATATGCAGGAGACATTCTTAGTTTGATGTTAGGATTGAGGTGCGGGATTTTACCAAAAACTATTGTCCAGAGGGCCTGAGAGAAGGTTTGTGAGGTCGTTCGGACATGTAGAGAGAATGGAGCGAACAGAATTGACTTAAAGAGTGTATCAGTCTGTAGTGGAAGGGAAGGCGGGGGTAGGGTTCGCTAGGAAAGGTTGGAGGGAGGGGGTTTAAAGGAGGTTTTGTGTGCGAGGGGCTTTTGACTTCCAGAGGGCCTGCGTTGAGCGTGTTTTGATAGGAGTGAATGGAGACAAATGGTTTTTAATTACTTGACGTGATGTGGTGGTAGGATGGCAAAGTAACATTTATGAAGGTGGTTCAGGGGATGGGGAAACCGGCAGGCCGGGACTTTTGAGTCCTGGAGGATGGGAAGTTACAGTTGCCTGCTTGAAGGAGGGGTTGTTGGTGTTAATGTTGCAGTTTTAAAAACTTTAGTGTTAAACGGCACCTTCTGGCAAGACAGTGATGGGAAGTGAATGATGGTGAAAGTTTTTCTTTTCGGGCCCCTGCCTTGGTGGGGAATCGGCCAGGTGGTAATAAAATTAATAAAATATAACTGGATGTGTAAGCTGAAAATAATTTCTCTGTTGTCTGTGAGGGTCACGCGCGCCCTCTCTCTCGTCATGCTAGAGAGAATTTTGAATGAATCCATGTTATTTGTTGATAAAGAATATTGGAATATTCAGCCGATGTGGAATATTTAGAATATCAAGGAATGTTCAAGATATTCAGTGACAATATTTAGGAGTTTGAGGCAGTATTTAGAAATGTGTGTTAGGGCGAATCCTTCTGAACATTATCTAGAACTTTCTGATGATACGGTAGTAACCTGATGAGTACATTTGACTTTTATTAACACAAAGGATTCCATAAAATTTGTGAGTTTTTGTGTATATTAACCACTTAACTAACGTAATCTCGGGTGACGGAGATTAGATGCATTTTGGGCTGATATTATTTTTCCATATTTTCTGTAACTTCCTTTCTATAAACCTCAAAGGTCCCCTCCATCTACTCCACATGGGGGTGGGGGTGAGGGGGACAGGATGCATGGGTGACAGGCGCCTGGCTGGCTTTCAGAGATGAGAGACCAGCATCAACACACTAGGTACCTTTCCTCTGAGAAAACATGCCCTCAATCTTCCTATTGCAGCTCTTGCAATATTGCATAGCTACTGATGAAGCACAGAAAAGTGTACAAGATCTCGAGCATAAGATTTCATCCCTCATAACTTGTTTTGCATATAAATATATTTTATGCAATAGGATCACAATAAACAGGCTGAGAAAGTTATATCATGCATAATCCATGATCACCGGAATATAATAGGATCATGTTCATAAAAAGTAGTTTGAAAATATAATCCAAAACAAAAATTATATATAAATTGGAATCATATATAATTAAGCTAATAATTTGGGGAAGAATTAAGGTTACATTAGACCAAATTTTTGGGTATCGTAGACTATACAGCTGTGATTCACGGATCACTGGACTACATGCCTTTAATCATCACTGACTACCTGCCTACATCACTGACTACCTCCTACATTCATCCCTGACTACCTGCATTACATCATCATGACTACCTACTCTAAATCTTCAC